TAATCGAGAAATTTTTTTAGTATTTCAGTGTATTTGAAATTGAGTACACTTATTGTGTAACGATAGTTACATGAGAAATCAATTGAATTACTTTTTTCCTCTAACTCGGGATAATTTATAAATTGTTTTAGTTTTAGGTTTAGCATTTGATATGATCCAATTTGCGAATGAATGTGTGCCACGACTTTATTGATGTAATTTTTATAATGCTGATTATATTTTTTTTTTGGTTGTTCTCCTTCAACTGGATTAAATATGAGAACGACAATAGATTAAAATAAAATAATAATATTCCATTGAAAAAATTTAGTATTACAAATAACTCGTTTAAAATTTAGGGAGATTTAAAACGAACGTGTACAAGTATGCTAATTAATATATAAAAATTATTTGAAAAAAAATATATCTAATGATTATAATTTTTCTTTATTAAGATAAAAATATATATAATAATCCCATATAGTGTGTATTTCTATTTTTCAGACAAATTTTTATGCAATATGTAAATTATTTTATAACTTATAATATTTTGAAATTTTCCTATTAAAATTCTGTGTGTAAAAACAATGGTAGAAAATAGATAGCCTATATATTTATTAAAATATAGTAATATTTTAATAATATAGTTACTTTCATATTTTATTTGGATTAATCTGTTATGCTATTCTTTAATTTCGAAAAGGTTTTTTGAATATCCTGTATTAATTATTATTTGTAATATGTGTATTAATTTATAAATTTCAACATATAATATATGGTTAAAATGTTTTTTGTGTAAATATTTCAATTAAATTACGTAATTTTAAAAATTATTTATTTTTACTCGTCTAATTTTAGAGACATAACCAAATAAAAAAAACACTGTTCTATTGATAATATAAAATATTTTAACGTTCTTAGACGTTATTATTCATATTAAAAATATTTTGAAAATACTNTGTTCTATTGATAATATAAAATATTTTAACGTTCTTAGACGTTATTATTCATATTAAAAATATTTTGAAAATACTGAAACTTTTATATATATGTCTTAAATTAAACCTTATGTATTATAATTTTTTATGGAAAAAAGAATTTCGAACTTCATTTTTCTTCACGGTGAAAATGTCTATCGTATGCTATATATACTATTTTTGTGTTAAAATTGTAAGTTTTGTATTTTATTTTATTTTAAAATGCCTTACAAAGATTTTTGAGTTAAAAAGAATTTTTAAGTCATTTGATTTTTATTTAATTTAGATTCAATATCTACAATAAATATCAAGGTTACCATTACCGTAATCTCGCCTTGATTAAAGAAATTTCTTATTCATATTAAAATTATTTTACTATGTGATTTCTTGTTGTAGCTTTATTTTCTCAGCTCTTACTTGACCAACATTTTTTAGCAATACATCAAATGATCACAACTATTATCTAGTTAAAGATATTACCTCGAAACTAGAAAATGATGTAATAGATATTTAGCACTTATAATTTTATAATGATGATTTTTCTAATGAACTACATTATTATGGCAGATGATAGATATAAAACACCAACGCTCGCGTGTATTTTGAGTTAATGTTACTCAAAATAATAGGTTGCGCACCTGTTCCTTTAAGTTAACCAATAAGAAACATCTTTTAATTAAAATCTAAAACATACATTTTCCCCTTTAAAAACAGGCTTATAAAAGAACGATTTCTGGCTCATTCGTCTCCTTATTTTAGCTTCGATGCGAAGTTGAGAAGGTATTAATTTTACTATGATGGGTTTTTTTTTTTTTTT